AGGGCAGAGCTATCACCTGCGGGCGAAACAGTTTCTGTTCAAATGTCAAAGTCAAAAACCACCTCTGCCATTAAGCGTCGCGATGATAAATAGGGCACGCTGGCTGACATTGGCCGTCATGCCGCGAATTCGTAAAGTGTCTTTAATGTTGTCGATCCATTTGTTTCTTGTCCCTCCTCTTGATTATGCAGTTGATCTTCTTAGATGTAGTGTTTGTGATGGTATTAGCCGTTACTGCATTCTATTGAGATGACCAAAACCATTCGATCTGCTGTTTCTCGATGAATCTATTACACGCTGTCGTACTCCCAATCAGTCTGATAGTATCATTACTGACTCGATCTCAGATGGTCAAGTTGGCGGTTTTCTCAGGCATCTTATCTCGAATGTGGTGATTTTGCCTACATGGGCTAGATACTGTCCATGTTTGGCACTGGTAGCTTAATGTTGGATTTAATATGCTGTTTCTACTCTGTTTCTTTGCGCTGATAGTACACATGTTAAAGTACATTTGTTTTACTCGTTAACTAACCGGGTCTTGGTAATATAGGCACTCTAACCTCTCGCCTCAAGAACTTCAGGCACTCACACGATTGAAACGTCGTGATGATATTGTCATTAAACCTGCGGACAAGAGACGGGTGGTAGTAGTCTGGAGCAAAGATTTGTATGTGCAAGAAGGGGACGGGCAACTTAGTGACACCTTGTTCTATGAAATCCAGTCACACGATGACACAGCCACACAAAAAAGTGTAAAAAGTACTATCACTACCTTGATCAAAGACTGTCTTCTACCTACCCAGGCCAGCTCTGTATTTGTCGAGGATAGCTGTCTAGGAAAGCCCTATAAATACTTTCTGTTACTTGATTAATTCTGGGAAAGCCCGGCTTCTCTGTGCTACCTAAGATAGAAAAACCTGACAACCCAGGCAGACCGATCGTGTCCGCCCAAGCTTGTCCCATATCTGAGTTCCTCGACTGTATTTTGCAGTTCCATCTTACATTAAGGATACTAAAAATGCTATCTCTGTCTTTCAATCCATCCGGTTCACCTCTTCCTTCAGGTACCACACTTTCACCTCAGATGTTACCTCTCTCTCTCTCTACATCACTATTACACACTCTGATGGGCTCCAGGCTCTGTGGGTTTTTTTTTTCTAGATCGTAGAGTCAGTCCTGATATAGACACTGACCCTTTGATACGTCTGGCTGAGTTAGTGCTCACTCTAAACCTAATCTCTTTCGAGTTAAATGGCTTTTTTTTTTCAACCAGATCAGCGGCGTCACTATGGGCACCTAGATTGGACATAGATATGCCTGCTTCTTCATGGGCCACCTCAAGCATCAGATACATCATGCTTATACCTGCATGCTTACTGAACTCTACAAGAGGTATATCGATGATGTCACTGATATGCCCCTACCTGAATTGCAAGACTTCATTAATTTTGTCTCCAACTTCCATCCTGAGCATCCGCTGCACTTAATTTTTTCTCCAACTTCCATCCTGAGCATCCGCTGCACTTAATTTTTTCTCCAACTTCCATCCTGAGCATCCGCTGCACTTAATTTTTTCTCCAACTTCCATCCTGAGCATCCGCTGCACTTAATTTTTTCTCCAACTTCCATCCTGAGCGTCCGCTGCACTTAATTTTTTCTCCAACTTCCATCCTGAGCGTCCGCTGCACTTAATTTTTTCTCCAACTTCCATCCTGAGCATCCGCTGCACTTAATTTTTTCTCCAACTTCCATCCTGAGCATCCGCTGCACTTAATTTTTTCTCCAACTTCCATCCTGAGCATCCGCTGCACTTAATTTTTTCTCCAACTTCCATCCTGAGCATCCGCTGCACTTTCAGCATTTCACCTTCATCGGTGCATTTTCTGAATCTCACTGTCACCGGGACTCTAAAGACCTCAGCCCCTCGGTGTACTATAAACCTATTGATTCCCATGTCTTTCTTCTTTGCACGTCCTCCCATCCGCCTTCTTGCAAGGACTCCATTATTTTCTCACAGCTTCTACGCCTCCGCAGACTTGCCAGGGGAACGACGACTTTCACCACAAGCCCCAGAAATGCTGGACTACTTCCGGCTTCGATGGTATCCGGAACATGTCTTTTTGATATTCATAATATAAATATTATTATATGAACATCATCATTATTATCAGGTGCCTTGCCGACTAGCGTGGGCGATCATGCCTCTCCATAATCTGCGATCTCCTGCAGCATGTATCAGTTCGTGTGCCGACACACCTCCATGCCATGCAACAAGACTGTCAATCATTTTCTCTCGTTGTCTTCCACTATCCCTCCTTCCACAGATCTTTCCAGTGGTCACAACATGTTCTATTTTCCCTATTCTCATAACATATGAACATAACATGCTTAATTGATAAAATACAACCGCTGTGTGAAAGATGGGTGTTTGGAAGGGCCGAATGTAAGACGGGCCTGTGTGCTCAATTTGTGATCCTTTGAAAATAACTTTCGTTCCTTTTTTTTTTTTTTTTTTTAGTAATGCTCGTTTCATTCACAATCTTTCTATAACCTCTCTATTTGGATGTCTTTGTTACCATGACATACGACATATTCTTCTGTATATTTTTTTTTTCGCCGCGCCAGTCTCTCCTCACGGGGAAACCACCCGGCTCTGAGTTTGATAGGCTCATGCCGTGATAATTACTCCCATGAGTTCGGGACCGATCCTGGCGCTTCTGACCAGACCAAGTGCAGCAGGACCACACTTCGATCTTAGCCAATTTTATTTAATCAGAAGCACAAAATTTGTGCCTGCTAAAAATTGATGAAAATAATATTTAATTCATATTCTTCTGTATATCCACATTTTTAGAAACTCAGTTTGATTTTCTAATTGCTTGTTTATCTCTCCATAAACAGCCATTCAGGCAATCCGTCGTGGGGATTCCAATAAACGACCACAAAGTCGGAAAGAGAGAGTTCTATTTTTATAGTGTACTTCTACAACATTAATTGCAATATATTCAAGGCGTCCTGGATATGGCCAAATGTTTGAATTTGCGGCCCTACTCTGGGACCTCTCCACGGCGATCCTAATTAACATGGTGGCACTTTGTGTCATCAAATGTGTTTATCGCGGTTGTCTGGGACCTCCTGGTGGGCGATCCTCATCCGTCATTCAGGCAATCCGTCGTGGGGATTCCAATAAACGACCACAAAGTCGGAAAGTGAGAGTTCTATTCACGATGCCACAAGTGATAAAACAATACTTAGCCCAACTCGCTAGCGTAGTTGGCTAAACCGGACTGCGCGGTGACTGGGTGACGAACTCCTTGTGGTCGGGGTTAACGCCCGGGGGTAGGCAGAAAAGCCACATTTCTCACAGATTTACGGTATTTATCATGGAATCAAGGCCGAAGGGTTGCGATATCCGTAATACCGAGCCCAAGGGTTAACAACTCATGGCTTCTGGATACTACAAAAACAAAAAACAAAAATACTTGTATTGTCATGGACTAAAATTAGAGCAAATTCACGGATCCATGTAGCCGTGGCACTTGTGATCGTGTGAGAAGTGCTCAGTCATAGGAGAACACGATCTACGCCAGTTTCTTCACCAACATTGTCGGATTCAGGGGGCGACAACTGGCAAGTCTAGTCGCTTTCTCCGAAGCTGTCGGCAGAGCAGAGATCACTTGTTGAATGTTCCCAGGAACTTGTTGGATTTTGTGACAAGATCGTTAGTAGATATTTTTGTTTGTGAGTATATGTGCATGTGGGTATGTGTTTGTGTGTTCGTTTATTACGTTTGCGTTTCTGCAAAACCTTACCAGTCGGTCGTCTGTTCGTGTATCCAATTTGTTTTATACTGTTTTCTTTGTTTTGTCTAAATATATATGTCTGTGGTTTGTTTGATGGCAAGTCCACGTTTTTCTCTTTGTCTGTTTTCGCTGTCTTCTCTCATCTCATCTTGATCCCCTTGTACCGTGCAGTGTCAAGGTTAGTTGCGTATCCTTTACAGGACGTTTTTTAGGTAAATTTACGTCCAGTATTTTGCCATTGCTTCTTGGACGGTCGGCTTTCTTGATACCACTGTCGAAACCAACGCAAGGGGCATGGCATACAGCTGGGATCGAACCCGGCATCCCGGCGTTACGAAGCGTTCGCATCGACATAGCCACAGAGCCGACGCAGTGTCAAGACGAATTATAACTTACAGGCAAAAAGCCAGTTTGTATGCTTAGTAAACAGGGTTTCCCAGGGACTCTCTGTCCATAGCTTGCATTGTCGGCCTCTTTTTTACTTCCCGCCTCGTCATTACATCATTGTCTGCTGTTGTATACCGTGTGCTGACATCCGCGTTACATGGCCAAACCATTTCAACTGATTTCATAGTTTCTGATCGTATCACTTTATTTTAATAGCCCTTTGCAGAAATCTCATTTTAGGTGTAATTTTTCTTTTCTCTTTTTCTGTCAATGTCTAAATCTGTCATAGGCCATGTATTTACTGTCTACTATACTCGCTGTCTCCCTACTTAACGACTGACCCTCATGTCTTCGAATGCCTCCCCTTTTATCTTGCTTTCTGACCTCCCTATCAAATCAATAAATGAAGCCTCCACTCCGCAATGAAGATTGACTGCAATGGATCTCCAATTTCTCTGTCTTGATTGTAACTCTCTCAGCTTGCTGTTCATCCATCTCTCGATGTTGTCCTCAAGCTTGTATCGGTGTCTATCTCTTGTCCTCTCGACCCAAATATGATTTTTAAAAAAATATTTTTTAATGTGGCCAAAAATATTTTCTCCCCCCCCCCTCTCTCTCTCTCTCTCTCTCTCTCTCTCTCTCTCTCTCTCTCTCTCTCTCTCTCTCTCTCTCTCTTTTCTCCCTTGTCTTGTGTTGCATGTTTTTAACCCTAAACTACCAAAGAAATTTAAAGGCAAACTTTATAAGGTTCTGTAAAACCCATTTTTTTTTTTAAAACAGAATCCACCGTTCAATCGCCCATTACATAAGATGCAACAACCAGCTCTACCCTTGCAGCCGGGTCAAGCATGCATGAACGTCATGAACAACACGGTGGTGGTCACCCAGCCTGGCGGGTCGGGTAACAGTCTGCTGCTCATTGGCAAGGACAAGTTGCAGTTTCGAAGCTGGACCTCTCACATCTGCTCTTGTTTTAACGACTGCACCAGTTGTAAGTTGTTTTGTTGTCAGGCTGTTATATTCTGCTCTTGTTGTTGGCAGACTTGTATTCTGCTCTTGTTGTTGTTGGCAGACTGGTTTTGTTGGCAGACTGTGTTGTATTCTGCTCTTGTTGATGTTGATAGACTTGTTGTGTTCGGTTCTTGTTGTTGTTGACAAACTGTGTTGTCTTCTGCTCTTGTTGATGTTGATAGACTGTTGTTGTGTTCGGCTCTTGTTGTTGTTGTTGACAGACTGGTATATTCTGCTCTCGTTGTTGTTGGCAGACTGTGTTGTATTCTGCTTTTGTTGATGTTGACTGTTGTGTTCGGCTATTGTTGTTTTTGACAGACTGTTAGATTCTGCTCTTGTTGTTGACATACTGTTATATTCTGCTCTTTTGTTGACAGCCTGTTATATTCTGCTCTTTTGTTGACAGCCTGTTATATTCTGCTCTTGTTGTTGACATACTGTTGTATTCTGCTCTTGTTTTTGACAGACTGTTATATTCTGCTCTTGTTTTTGACAGACTGTTATATTCTGCTCTTGTTGTAGACAGACTGTTATATTCTGCTCTTTTGTTGACAGCCTGTTATATTCTGCTGATGTTGTTGTTGACAGACTGTTGTTGCATCCGCTCCTGTTATTGTTGATGACTTTGTATTTTTCTAGTGTTGTTGTCGATGTTGTAGTTGTTCACATTCCGTTGTTGTATTCTGCTGTTGTTGTTGTTGACAAAATATTATTGAATTTTGAATCTTGGTAATGTTATTGTATTCTGCTCTTGTAATGTTCACAGACTGTTATTGTATTCTGCCATTAATATTGTTGACACAGTTATATTCTGGTCTTGTTGTTTTTGTTGTTGAGACTGTTGATGTATTCTGCTATTGTTTTTGTTGAAAGACTGTTGGTGTAATTTGCTCTTGGTGTTGACAGACTTTTGTATTATGCTGTTGTTGTTGAGAGCCTGTGGTTGTACTCTGCTTTTGTTGTTTAGACTTTTGTTGTATTCTGCTCTTGGGATTAACAGCCTGTCGTTGTATTCTGCTCTTGTTTTGACATTTATTAGATTCCCTTATTAATGTCATTATTGTATATTGCAGTATTGTGCCTTGTTCTTGATGACATAATGTTGCTATAGTGTGCTCTTGTCATGGGCTCCGGAACTTGGGCGCTTAGGACTATTGAGCACCATTTTTTTTTAATTCAGAGGGAGGAGCGGGAGGGATTTACGAGGGAAAAAAAAGTTATGCACAGAGATAAAATTGAACATCAATGGATAGACTAACCCAAGAAGGAGAACAACATGCTATCTATTCTGGAGAAAAGCTCGACCAGGTTCAACCTGCTGTTGGCAGCCGAAGCTGACAACAGTCTCCGGTTATATTTATGGTTTGGTTTATTTGCCCCAATTTCGTGGCTAAGATTACGGTATGTGCCAGCTCTCTGGCTTTGTGTCCCTGTCCTCATATACAGACCGATCCTTCCTGTCTTTTCCCCAAGTTGTCCTTTTTTCTTTGTCTTAGTGGTGTTTTTCTTCCTTTGTCATCCTCCATCCGGTTCAGTCTCCTTATTATCTTGCCTTTGTGTCCTCTGTTGTGTATCCGATTCTGCGCCTTTTTATTTTGGCAGGGCGTAACTCGTAAGAAACCAAGCGAGTTCTACAAAAACGTCCTCTCGGACCACCATTTGTAGTTTTAAAATTTTGAGTATTTTACTTTGCCAAAAAGTAGTGAAAACAGTTTTGCGGTTTGGATAGATTTTCACTTGTGACCAAAGCGGTCTGTGTGTCTGCCTGTAATAAGAGCAGACTAGTCATAAAATGATGTTGATAAAATGCGTGTGATGTAGCAATTGGTATTTTTTTTTACCACTTCTAGGAAGCCAAATAATATTTATTATACACTAAAACAACTAACTGGCACCATAATATTGCCAAGTGGTCCTTCAAAAGCATAGGCGGTGCAGTGCTTACATCTGATGGTCTGCCAAAAAAAAAAAAGAAAAAACACATGGAGAATTAAGCTAGAGAATGAAGTTAGAAAGATGGAAAGGACATGGGAGAGCTGCGTGCGGTGGCAAATGATAGAACGACTTTGCGTGAGTTGGTTGAGTGTCTATGCTCTAATGTGGGCTAGAAAGGCAGAAGAAGAAGAAAATTTGGGAGATCAGGACATGAATACATTTACTAAAAATAGCATTTACGGGGATTTTTTTAATGGAAAAAAAAAGCATTTTTAAAGCCACGTTGTCGTCAAATGTCCATGTAGCACTTTGCCGTATGTGTTTCTCAATGCCTTGTCGACCGACCTGTAACCTTGGCTGTGTTCTCTGACCCAGGTATATTGGGCACCATGTGCCTGCCTATCTTGCTGTGTCGGGTGTCAAACCGTCTCAACGAGTGCGCCCTGATCACTTGCTGCGCTGCTGGCGGCTTCATGGCTCTGAGGACCAAACTACGAACCATGGGCGGGATTAAGGTAAGTCTTGATGGTTGGTCTGGGTCGTTGGACTGAAGGTTGAGTTCAGGGAGATTATGGCTGGCTGAGTGGCTGGACTATAGGTTGGGTTCGGGGTGTTTTCTGATGGTCTGAATGGCTAGACTGAAGGCTGGGTTCAGGGAGATGGACTATAGGTTGGGTTGAGGTGATGCTGAATGACTATAGGTTGGGATGGATTGGGAGTGTTTCTGATGGTTTTCTGAATCTGAATGGCTAGACTGAAGGCTGGGTTCAGGGAGATCGAGGGAGATGGATTAGGTTGGCTGGGGGTGGCTGGACTATACTGAAGGTTGGGTTCGGGATGAGGTTGGCTGAGTGGCTGACTGGTTCGGGGAGGTGGCTAATGGCTACTGAAGGCTGGGTTCAGAGAGATGGATTTGTTGGTGACTGGACTGAGTAGGGTTCGTATTTTCTGAAAATTGAAAAGATGGATTTGTTAGTTCGTATAGTTGTTGTCGAAGGCGTTTGCTGTAGGCTGGACAAGTAGAGTTTTCCAGTAGTTGGTGGGAGTGGTTGTACTGAATGTTGGACGAGGGCAGTTTTTTTGTTGTTTTGGTTGAGTAGTTGAACTAATAGTGCTATGATGGTTGGTTGGAGTGGCTGTACTCTTAAGATGGACAAAAGGAGTTTTCTGATGGTTGGTCGGAGTGATTGTACTGTAAGTGATGATCAAACCTATCATAGAGGGTTGGTCAGGGTGGCTGTGATTAAGTGATGCTCCGAAATGTCTTGAGTAATTGACTGGAGTATCTGCCTTATTATAAACAGGAACAGGAAAGAAGTTTTGCCAAAAGTTTTGAAGTGATATGTTGTATTTAGGACAGTTTTGAAGAACGTGGTCTGTTGTCTCCGGTGCCACTCCATATATGCACATGGTTGATTCCCCAATCTGAAATCGAGTTTGCATGTGGCTGCGAAGTCGACTGTGACCATTTCTAGGGCCTAGAATAATATCTATCTGTGTCTGGTCCGTAACATGGTAATCTTGTGCCATTTTTGGTGGTCCTCTGGTTGGTTTGACTAAAATTTTAAAAAATATTTGGAATGTAATGCCACTGAATGGACATTGCACAAGTGTGTGGATATCTTCACTGTGCATTTCTTGCTATCTTATCTTTTCTCCTCGGTAACTTTACTTGTAAAATCCTCATTAAGTTCCGGGTCCCCAGTGTGAGGAAAACAAGAACTGGGGGCTTTCTTCGAAGTCGGAGGGCATCTGCCTTACAGGCAAGAAACCAGCAGTCCACATACAAATGTCAGATATGTAAGGTGGGTGTGCACGTAACACTCAGGTTCTGGACCAAGGCTGACGTCCACAGGCGGACGAACAACCAGAACTTTCCAACGGAATTTACAGCCGCTGAACGCGAAGAAAGATTGCTTGTAAACTTTATTGACTTGTGAGACACATGATGCGGTAGTCCAAATGTGTTCCGCCAGAGTCAATAAAGGGATCCCCAAGTCTTTGTTCATCTAAAGGTCAACTTCATAACACATTAGGCATGACCATAAGTGCTCCGATCTCCTCCTGTGTATGTCTCCAAGTATTTTTAGTTCCCATGTTCTGGTTTATGTAGCGATAGTTGGCTCCCATTAGGTTTTCCGATCCTTGCTGCTCCTATTGGTACACACAGGGTATGCAGTCTATTCAGTAAAAATTCATTTCCCACTAAACTGAAAGCTTCACAGCGTTTAGTCTCACTCCTGCCCATAGATAGCCCACTCCTGCCCATAGATAGCCCACTCCTGATAGTCACAATGCTGGCCAGAGCGTCTGCTCTCTCATTGCCTTTCCCACCAGCGTAACCTGGGACAAAAATTGTCATTCTATGAAACACTGTGCGCTGTATCAGATAAAGCCACTGTTTCCGTATATATCCGGCCATACGTCAAAGAGGTTTGGAACCACTGTTGTCAAAGACGCAACTTACTTTAACATAGTGAACCAAGTATTGCCTTTGTGAATATTATGTAGTCAGGTGCTTGTGTATTGTTAATATGGTAATGTATTATCGGGAACATTGCACACACAGGTTTGCTACGAGAGCAGTTACCAACCTCTTATACCATCCTCCTAAAAAAGCTTGCATGTGTCTGCATTCATTCTCCAGGAGTTCATCTGCAGCTCATACACAGGTTACTTTTACAATGTACATGGATTCCAGCTGCGGTCTTTGGGAACATTGCGTGCAGAGGTCCATGTGTGCTGTGAATGTTTACATAAGATCGAGAATACCGTGCTGCCTTGATAAGGAGAACCCACCAACCAGAGACCAAATAAATAGTTCTTCTTAACGGAATATTATCTTATCGAGCTAAGAGTTCAAGCATCCCGTAATTGCCAGGGATATATGCAAATTGCTGTTTGCAACAGAAATTCGCTGCATTCGAGATCTCTTAAGCTGTCTGCACAGGCAAGTCAGCGATTTGACAGGAAGAAAAATAACAGCAAATAAGGGATGTTTAAAATCAAAAACAGGAAAGGTATTCGTGGACGAAGATTCTTTAATAAGGAGATGGAATGAATACATTCGATAATTATTTAGTGGAGAAAGAACAGATTTACCAGCAGAAAGTTACCTAAAGGGTAACCCAAAGGAAAAGAAGTCTCCGGTGATATCAAACATATGAAGACAGGAAAAACAGGCGGATCAGATTGAATTACAACAGAGGAAATAGTACTCGAAGAATTTGGAGTTGACATATTAACTAAACTGTTGAATGATGTTTTAGAAAGTCAGTCAGTCAGTTATTTGAACAATATGCTTCAATTCGTGAAAAAGGGCCCTTTACTTTTTACTTTTAGTGTGGTAGAGACATCAATGGAGCACTGCCTACCCAAAAGCAAGTTGCAACAGTCACCTAACTGGGAGCTTCCTTCAAAGTAAGAGTGCATCTGCCTGAGAGGCAAGGAATCAGCAGTCTGCATACAAATGAGTCATATCTGTAAAACGGATGAACACTCGACACTCGTGTTCTGGAACAGGACTGTAGTCCAGAAGTGGATGAACAGCCAGAACTTTCCGCCAGTTTACAGTTGGTTAACGCAAAGAAGAAAGAAGAAGAATGAAGAAATAGACATATTTGTGCTTCATAGATTATATCTAGGCTTTTGATAAAGTGAAACATGATGACATAACATTGTTAGAGGATATTAACATTGATGGAAAATATCTCAGAAAAATGAAAAATGAAAACATTTTCTGGAAGCAAGAAGCAACAATTAAATTGGAAAGTAATGTAAGCAGTTATGATTAACAAATAAAACAATGAGTAAGACAAGAATGTGTTTTGTAACCGGATCTTCTCTCTAGCTACAGGAAAATAATAACGGGGGAGGTCAAGGGTAGACCAGGAATACTAGTTAGAGGGTATAATATAAAGAATCTTCGTTTTGCAGACGATACAGTATTAACAGCCGAAAACGCAGAAAACCAAAAACAACTGTTAGACATTGTGGTACTAGAGAGTGCAAACAAAGGGACATTATTTGAATGTCAAAAGAGGAAAACTCCCAAATGTGACATAGCAATATAAGGGAAAATGCTTAACTAAGTAAATAAATTAAAGTATTTGGGGACATTCATAACGTAAGATGGACGACGTGTGACAGAAATGAAAAGCAAAACTGGCCAGGCGAAGGTACCATTTCAGAAGATGAAAAGTAAATTATGAAATAAATCACTCTCATTAAACATAAGAAAACGAGTACTGAAATATTATATCAAGTTTAGCACCTCTATAATGTAGTGGATCTTGGATTGTGAGCAAATTAAGGAGAGTTTGGGGGTAGTTGGGATGTGATTCTTGAGAAAAATGCTGCGAATACCTTGGACTGTCAGAATAACTAACAATGTCTGCCTAGAAATGGCTAATGAAAGTAGAACATTATGTGCAACAATGAGAAGGAGATGAACAAACTAATAATGTCTGCCTAGAAATAGCTAATGAAAGTAGAACATCATGTGCAACACTGAGAAGGAGATGAACAAACTAATAATGTCTGCCTAGAAAGGGCTAATGAAAGTAGAACATTATATACAACAATGAGAAGGAGATGAACAAACAATGTCTGCCTAGAAATGGCTAATGAAATTAGAACATTATATACAACAATAAAATGGAGATGAACACAGTTCTTTGGTCATATGATGAGAAAAGTAGCACGGAAAAATATCATTGCAACTAGAAAGATCATTGGTAGAAGAGGCAGAGGTAGACGAAAAGAAATAATAGTGGATGGCTTAAGACAGTGGCATGGAGGAATATCATCAGTGGAATTGATCCTGAACACCAATGATAGAGATCTGTGCAGATGCATGAACGACTACGACAGCTGGCAAGGCACTTGCCCAGAACTGGTACGCCTGTTTCAGAACCCCGTTCTCGACATGCAAGTCTAAGTGGGTATTGTTTTTTTTTTTTAAGTCAGGCTGCGTCAGGACTGGACCATCGATGTTTGGATCCACAGAGGCGGCTCCATTGAATACTATGTCGGAAATGTTACAGCTTCTTGCTACAAGAGCAGTAACCAGCCTCTTCTAGCATCCCCTTCTGTCATCCCCTTCTGTCATCCCCTTCTAGCATCCCCTTCTATCATCCCCTTCTGTCATCCCCTTCTAGCATCCCCTTCTATCATCCCCTTCTGTCATCCCCTTCTAGCATCCCCTTCTGTCATCCCCTTCTGTCATCCCCTTCTGTCATCCCCTTCTAGCATCCCCTTCTAGCATCCCCTTCTAGCATCCCCTTCTAGCATCCCCTTCTAGCATCCCCTTCTAGCATCCCTTTCTAGCATCCCCTACTGTCATCCCCTTCTGTCATCCCCTTCTGTCATCCCCTTCTAGCATCCCCTTCTAGCATCCCCTTCTAGCATCCCCTTCTAGCATCCCCTTTCTAGCATCCCCCTCTAGCATCCCCTTCTAGCATCCCCTTCTGTCATCCCCTTCTGTCATCCCCCTTCTGTCATCCCCCTCCTAGCATCCCCCCCTCCCCTAGCATCCCCCTTCTAGCATCCCCTCCTAGCATCCCTTTCTTTCATCCCCTTCTATCATCCCCTTCTACCACCCCCTTCTAGCATCCCCTTCTAGCATCCCCTTCTAGCATTCCCTTCTAGCATCCCCTTCTAGCATCCCCGTCTAGCATCCCCTTCTGTCATCCCCTTCTGCCATCCCCTTCTGCCATCTCCTTCTGCCATCCCCTTCTAGCATCCCCTTCTAGCATCCCCTTCTAGCATCCCCTTCTAGCATCCCCTTCTAGCATCCCCTTCTAGCATCCCTTCGGTCATCCCCTCCTAGCATCCCCTTCTAGCATCCCCTTCTAGCATTCCCTTCTAGCATCCCTTTCTACCATCCCCTCCTAGCATCCCCTCCTAGCATCCCCTCCTAGCATCCCCTTCTGTCATCCCCTCCTAGCATCCCTTTTTTCATCCCCTTTTTCATCCCCTTTTTTCATCCCCTTTTTTCATCCCCTTTTTTCATCCCCTTTTTTCATCCCCTTTTTTCATCCCCTTTTTTCATCCCCTTTTTTCATCCCCTTCTATCATCCTCTTCTATCATCCCCTTCTATCATCCCCTTCTATCATCCCCTTCTATCATCTCCTTCTAGCATCTCCTTCTAGCATCTCCTTCTCATCTCCTTCTATCATCTCCATTCTTTCAACCCTTCTATCAACCCTTCTATCAACCCTCTATCAACCCATTCTATCAACCCTTCTATCAACCCCTCTATCATCCCCTTCTGTCATCCCCTAAAGCTGCTTGTATTTTTGTATCTGCAGGGCTCCATCTGCAGTGACTGTTTCATGACCACTTGCTGCGGCCCATGCGCGGCTTGTCAGATGTCTCGTGAAATGGACAGTATGGGGTTATAAAGTGTTGCCGTCGCCCCACAGGACGGACAGACTTCTGTGTGATCTTCCATGTCGTCTGTTACATCTGGTGATTTATAAAAATTAATGTATATTTGTTTTCAATATGGGGTTATGAAGTGTTGCCGTCGCCCCTATCGGACAGGCAGACTATCGTGTGATCTTCCATGTCGTTTGTTACATCTTGTGATTTATAAAAAGTATTATATATGTTTTCAATATGGGGTAATGAAGTTTTGCCGTCGCCTCATCGGACAGGCAGACTATCGTGTGATTTGCCATGTCGTCTGCTACATCTTATTTATAAAATAATATATATATATATATATATGTTTTTCAATATGGGGTTAATAAAGTGTTGCCGTCACCCCATTGGACAGACAGACTACCGTGTGGTATTCAATGTCGACTGTTTCATCTTGAAACATGAAAATTATTATATATTTATGTATGTTTTCATCTTGAATATAAAACAAAGCATTGTTACAATGTGGGAAGTTTTATCTGTGCGTCAGTATGAAATTGTGTTAATCTTACATGATAATGATTATATTTTAAAGTTGGGTAAAAAAGGGTAAATCAGACACGTGTTTACAACTTAATCACATGTCTTAAGAATAATAGCCTAGCGTATGGTACCAGGAAGGAGGGGCAGGGGCCGACCAACACAGATGAGCACTGGATTTAAGAAACTTCTTGAATATCAAAAGTAAATGAGGCGGGGAGATCGAGTTTCTTTCAGGGAGACCGCGATGAGAGCGACGTTCTGCAAAGGACCTGTTGCATGATGATGATGATCATCAAAAGACGTCGAGAATGTTCACAGATCCTATAGTGTGGGGTAGAGCATGGGCACAGACTTTGAGAAAACTGCTGGGGGAGGGGAGGCGACGTAGCGTTAGAAAATTTTAATGCGGGGAAGAGATAGTATTAAGAAGCCTAAGCTTTCTTCTTCAGCAATCCAAGCCGCTCATTGCTGTAGATATCACCCGCCTCCACTCGTCTCTCTGGTTGGCTTTCTCTTTCCAGTTGGTAACACGAAGTTGTTTGCAAGTCTCTCTGGGCATTATCTCTCCATATTCGTCTTGGTCTGCCTCGTGGTCTACGACTATTCATCTGCCTTGCGTGTATAGTTTTTACCTCTCTGTTATCTGACATAAGTACCGATTGGTCTATAAAAAATATAGGTCTAGCCCTATATTCTAAAAACGCCTAAAGGCGTGGGGAAAATGACCTTTATATCTGACATGATCTTAATATGCACCAGCCACTTTAACCTGTTAGCTCTCATGATGCCAGTGATCAGTAGTGATTGAAACAGATAATGAATTTCGTTGTTGCTTCACACTCTCCATTCCCCGCTGTTTACATCTTTGATAGGTCCAAAGATTCGTCGTAATAACCTGTTTGCGAAAACCTGTAATGTCTGTCTCTTTAAGTTGTGCTCTAAGTTTCCGAGCCATATAAAACGACTGGTCTTATCAACTTTTTAATTATTCTGATATTGGTGTTGCGAGATGGAGACTTTGACTTTTGCAGATGTTGAAGGGCTTTATTTAATTATAATAACAATAATGTAATTAATGGCAATTAGACATATTTAAAATAATTTGTGTAAACAAAACTTAGGCTTGTATAGCGGCTAGACATTCGCCTGCGGATCCAGGTTCAAATTCGAACTGAACTGGTCTTTTGTCAAAAATGGACATTAGCGCCCAGATAGGCCCAACCTTAAAGGGGTACCAAGGTAAATCCTGGGAAAGTAAAGGCGGCCGGCATGATGCTGACCACATCACCCGCCGGGTATCTATTGATCCATACAATATAGGTCTAGTACTATATGCCAGTCAGCGTTTGTGGCTTAGGCGTTGCGAACGTTCTTCGTAATGCCGGGATGCTTTGTTCAATCCCAGGTATGGACTGCTTGTCTTGCCTTGGTTTCAACAGTGATACTGAGCGCCAACATTCCAGAAAGCAATGGAAAACTACTGAACGTAAAATTTGCCTAGAAAAACATACCCAAAAAAAAGCAGTGTTGGTTCTGCAGTGTCTGAAGAGGACATGCGACAAACTTGAACTATATGCCACACACGCTAGAATGCGTGGAAAAGGGTCCTTTACTTTATAAACAGAATTTAAATATTCTTTTAAAAATGGATTACGGAAATGAGAAGTTGATCTTTGAAGAAATGTTAGGAACTAAAACACCCCCCCCACCCTCTTTTTCCCCCTTTCTTCCCGCTTTCTGTCATACTTTCAGATTTCGGCACCCCAAGACCATACATTGAAACCGTAATTGTGGGGGACATATAATAAACAAATAGATGTTGTTTTAATCGGATCTCATAGAAAGAAGTATACACAAGCTTAGATTAAATGACAGGTCTAAGAATATCGGAACGTGAAATTAGGAGTGAATTCTGGGACGAGCCAAAACGTTCTAGTTATTTTTTTCTCATTTTTGTTTGTGAGGGGACATAATCACGCCTAAGATATAGGCACAGTAGAAGTCAATTTGAAGACAGTTAACACCCTTTAATCACGATTATGTTGGCGTTCACACACAACGCACAAGCACATCAAACGCGCGCACACTTGCACAAACCACACACAAGCACACACACACACATATATATATACACACACACATACGTACATGCAATTTAACTAGGATGACTAAACACAGGAGGGACTGATGAGAGGAAGAGAACGACGTGTGTATGTATAATCAGTGTGGTACGGAAAAAGTTACCATCGACAATCTACACCTTAGGACATTTTCTGCGGGAGACGGAGCATCTATGGGTTTGCCCAGTGTGCTATAATGTCGATTCCTAAATCAGTAATCAGTGATTACACCGTCCTGTTTTCGCCGGCATAGTGTAGTTGTTAAGGTAGGCACAGACGGTTATATGACATCCCCCCCCCCTCCCCCGAATTTTCCAATCCCGGCGAACACAGGACAGTGTGGTCACCCTAACTCCAACACGCACCCTCACACACAACTTTCTCAGGTTGGATTCACAGAAAAGTTAATCACACATCACACGTTGTTTGGGACAGAGAGTTGAGAACGAAATTTGCAGTGAGGGTATCTGCGCAGAAACAAGAATTCAATAGTATGATAAAATTACTAAATACTGAGCATTGGGACAGAACTAAATAAGTTCCAGTGGACCAAGAGGGGACGAAAAGACGCTGGCGTTGGATAGGTATTCTGTCGGCTTTCTTTCAGTCTTCTTCGTTCACCGGCTGTAGTCGACTCTAACGGCATGGTTCTTGGAGGAAGCAGTTGGTTTATGTTTATCCCCCGGAACCCGCACGAGGAGTTTAATATACAAATCATGTGATTCGGACAGCAACAATTCGCCAAGAAGGTGCAACTGGCGGATAATGACGCCGAGAAAGGCGGAGTCTCCCGTCGCTGTTCACTCAACGAACCGCGACTGGTAAGATCCCTACAACGTCTACAGCGGGGATATGATCACTGGTGGTTACAACTTCAAAGCCTAACGGTACATATATACGGCTACGATTTTCTGGTTTGACGTATGCAACCTTAGCAGTTTAAAGTTAGAGCCTGGATGTGCCCTTGTGTAAACATCATACAGGCTACCAAGAAAGCGATTAGGTGCTTGTGATGGGCAGTGGGGACGCTTCTACTTGAGTAGGAATGCTGATAGAAGAAAAGTTACACCATCGGGTGGACATAAAAACGTATGCAGTTTTCTTGCTGCCCTGTCTTCTAGCGGCCGCTTGTTTCTGTAATGGACTGAGTGGCCAGTTTGTTCACGATGACGTGTTCGCCATCAGGAATAACCCGGATGTTACGGGTTCGAGTCCACTACTGCAGCTGTTTGGAAATGATTTCTGGGTGGACGCATGGATGATCCTAGGAGCCACAGATCCTACAGACCACTTTGCGTCTTATCTTTCAGGTAAGGCATAGTTAGAGTGTGTCAATGGTGAGGCGTACGTGCAACGGATATCATCGTTCTCACACTTTCCACTGGAAAAGAACACATTATTGCACTTATTATTTTTAGTTTATACTTGGGATCTCTAGTGAACAACAGTGGTGACTGCTCGAAAGAAGTCGGAAGAAGACCTGCATTAACAGTGCAGAGATTCAACAGCATGAAGAACCTAAACCAAAATGCTAGTAAACTGGTTACATTAAAAATCTTGATATCATGCATTTTCCCTTTTGGCAACTGACTGTTGTGAGTCCTGGACTCTCACCGAGTCATTGAAAAAAATATTGGAGCTTATGAATTGAAATGTTATAGAAACATTTTTTTAGAATACCATGGATCAAGAAAAGCAAAAACATCGACATTCTTAACGAGTTGGACATCAAGGAGAACTGTCTCATAAACAGCATCTTGTCCCGAAAGTTGAAGTATTTTGGCCACATCAAGCGACATGGTGGCTTGGAAAAGACGGTGATGGAGGGTGCCGTTTGTGGAAGGCGAGGCAGGGGTTGACCACCGCGAAGATGGAGACAGAACTTTCAGACGTGCCGTGAAGAGAGCGGCGTTCTGTAAAGTACTTGCTGATTGATGATTTATTATTAGTTTACTATCTATTACAAATACGCTGCTCAATTTTCGTCTCAGACCTAGTGAAAAGAACGCTCACTGCATGTTTACGTCACTCATGCAGAAACTATAAGGTACGAAAGCTGCCGGTTACTAAGTACTCTAATGTTGGCTGCGCGGGCACATTATCAACGGCAACGCTACGACGAGGAAACTATCACGTGATACCATCTCCAATATAGTCGTTACCTGCTAATTCTTACACGTGCGAACTGATCACGACTGGGCTCTGGTGTGCATAGAACAGTGACAAGAAGAAGCTACCATAAGTATTTAGACAACACCACTACATCTCGAGGAGGTCGCGCGAATATCTTTACCAAAGAGCGTATATGAAGCAGTTTAATTCTCTTGCTGAAGAGTGGAGGCTGATACATTTCTATAGCAAACAGTGGCAGGCGATGAATCGCAGTGACACCACCCTGAGCCATGCTGCCAAACAACAAGCGTGCAACGGAAATAACCCGGATCATGAAAACACAAGGAATCGAAGCAAAGCGGAGGCGAGGTGGTCCAAAATAAACCCTAAGAATAAACACTGATGGGAGACGCCCAAGGTGTTGGATTGGATTTCGTCCATGATATTGAACTGATTGATTCCATCCACAGGATAAAACAGACTGAGGAAACAGACTGACTTCAAGTCCATGTGTGACATACAAAGGCACAACAGGACAATGATGAAGTAGCATATATACCAAGGCTCGCACCAAAAGCCTCTTCAAAACATGACAGTGAAAGGCAGAAAATAACTAGAGAAGAAGAAGAAGAAGAAGAAGAAGAAGAAGAAGAAGAAGAAGAAGAAGAAGAAGAAGAAGAAGAAGAAGAAGAAGAAGAAGAAGAAGAAGAAGAAGAAGGAGAAGACGAAAAAGAAGAAGAAGAAGGAGAAGACGAAAAAGAAGAAGAAAAAGAAGAAGAAGAAGAAGAAGAAGAAGAAGAAGAAGAAGAAGAAGAAGAAGAAGAAGAAGAAGAAGAAGAAAAAGAAGAAGGAGAAGACGAAAAAGAAGAAGAAAAAGAAGAAGAAGAAGAAGAAGAAGAAGAAGAAAAAGAAAAAGAAGAAGAAGAAGAAGAAGAAGAAGCAGCAGCAGCAGCAGCAGCAGCAGCAGCAGCAGATCTATGAGATGAAGCAGCTGATATTTTTTTGGTTTCGGGGTAAGGCTGGGGTTCTTCTTAAAAAGCTGGTGGTATTTGTCCCTTTTAGGAGAGTGTAAGACAATGTGGAGAGAGGGTGGGGGTGCGTGAAGCTGATTCTATGGGGGTTATATGGCTAGTTCATGGTTGTGTGTGTACCAGATTCTACTATTGCCACGGACAGAAAGGAAAAACAAAAAACATGACCTCACCGAGTTTTCGAACACTGTTCTCCGAAAAGAGAACTTAGCATTTTTAACCAATTGGCAAAACTGCATATTGGCTTTTTACAGCAGAACATCTGGGAGGAAAGCGAGAGGAAGACCAAGAAAAATACGGATTAATGATGTAGCAGAAACCTGCAAAAGAGATGAACAAAACCATTCCCCAAGCCATTCGAGAAGCGCAGAAAACCACGACACTTGGCTACAACCTGGTATCAGTGAGACGACAAAACTGCGACATTGGGCTACAACCTGGTATCGATGAGACGACAAATCTGCGACACTTGGCTACAACCTGGTATCAGTGAGACTACTAAACCACGACATTGGACTACAACCTGGTATCAGTGAGACGACAAAAGAAGAAGAGGGGGTCAGCCGCTCCTCCTTTCCTTATAATTGCTTAGATTCATTTTTCCAAACCGGTTTATATATATTTCATACATTCGAAAACAACAACGCTACCTAGAATGGTTTTATTTGATCACGCTCCGTAGATTGCCTTCATGGGTTTCCCTGTGGCATAAATTTTTTCTGAACAAATGAAAAGAACTGCGTGGGGTTCCGTTTTTTTTTTTTTTTTTTACCTGAGTAGGTACAAAACAGTCACGCCTGCATGGTTTAGTGATTATACGGAAACCCCCCAGCTGACTTGTATCAGGTTCAGCTCTCATGCCGTCCTTGACATTTACAGCCGGACGAAATTAGGGCTGTATTATAATGGGCGAAGGAAAGTATTTATGTCTGCATCAGGGCCTGGTGTTTGCTACTGATGGGGTATAGGTTACCTGGTGTTTGCTACTGATGGGGTATAGGTTACCTGGTGTTTGCTACTGATGGGGTATAGGTTACCTGGTGTTTGCTACTGGTGGGGTATAGGTTACCTGGTGTTTGCTACTGATGGGGCATAGGTTACCTGGTGTTTGCTACTGATGGGGTATAGGTTACCTGGTGTTTGCTACTGATGGGGTATAGGTTACCTGGTGTTTGCTACTGATGGGGCATAGGTTACCTGGTGTTTGCTACTGATGGGGCATAGGTTACCTGGTGTTTGCTACTGATGGGGTATAGGTTACCTGGTGTTTGCTACTGTTGGGGTATAGGTTACCTGGTGTTTGCTACAGATGGGGTATAGGCCTCAGGACAGGACATAACACATAAAAAGCATATGCACAGGTTTTGTCTAAGTAGTTCATTCATTGTTGTGTCCTTGTGAGCTGTGTGTGCAGACTACAGAACTTATCCTGCAAAAATATCCCTTGTGGGCTGTGTGTGCAGACTACAGAACTTGTCCCGCAAGCATTACCCTTTGTGGGCTGTGTGAGCAGACTACAGAACATATCCAGCAAGAATGTCCCTTGTGGGCTGTGTGTGCAGACTACAGAACTTGTCCCGCAAGCATTACCCTTTGTGGGCTGTGTGTGCAGACTACAGAACAAATCCAGCAAGAATGTCCCTTGTGGGCTGTGTGTGCAGACTACAGAACAAATCCAGCAAGAATGTCCCTTGTGGGCTGTGTGTGCAGACTACAAAAAATGTCCAGCAAGAATGTCCCTTGTGGGCTGTGTGTGCAGACTACAGAACATGTCCAGCAAGAATGTCCCTTGTGGACTGTGTGTGCAGACTACAGAACTTATCCTGCGAGAATGTCCCTTGTGGACTGTGTGTGCAGACTACAGAAAATGTCCTGCAAGAATGTCCCTTGTGGACTGTGTGTGCAGACTACAGAACATGTCCAGCAAGAATGTCTCTTGTACAGGCCGCTAAGAATGGAATACTGGCCCACTGAGTCAACACTGCACTCATAGTTGTTTAAAACTAAAAAGGAACTGCTAAATACAGTAAAGTCTATCACAAAAACTTGCCTATAGGTGTAAATTAGAAAGCGAAACCAAGAAGAAGAAGACGGAGCTAGTCACACTCGCCATCGTCATCGGCTGGGATTCCTACGCCTTCTTATGGCACAATATCACACTATCGTCTGGAAATACGTAACGGTGGCAGGATTAAGGGACACCTGACTGACAACTCTAGATACTGCAGTTCTAGACCCCCACACCAACCCTCTCCCCACCCCATCAACGAATAACCGCAAAGACCCTCCTCAAAATTGTCTCAATGGATTTAGAAGAAAAGAAAGATTTTTTTTAAATTCATTGAAACTTTGGTAAATAGATTAGCTGATATCTCTTTTGTCCAACGTGTCAACCTGTTGCACTTCCAGGCTTCACGAATGTATCCCTTTGACTCAAGCACACCTATAAACCCAACTGGCGTAACATGTCGTGGGGAGGTGGATCAGTGAAACCGTTGCCTGGCAAGCCATTTGTCAATCTCCAGGCAGCCATGCGCGGTTCTTAAACTGGCTCCTGATCTACTTAGCTTGTGCATGCAGTAGTTCATAAAGGGGAAAATGTATTTAGGTAAACCGGAGATAGTAGCGTGTTTCCGGTTATATTAGATTAAGATAAGTTTAATATCGGTATTCAATATATTATATGTAACATAAACAGTTCTTGTTTGAACTGGAATTTAATAAGTGGTACATGTCGCGAAAAGAGACATAACAATGTGAGTGACCTCCCTTGCCATTGATGCCTCGATCTAGTGTAGCGACTGTACTACTATGTCGGAGGGGTTTCAGGCCCAGTGAGTCGTAGTTTACCCATTTTTGTCAGCAGCCGGCGATATCGCGTCCTCTATGCTGTGACCGCTTTAACTGTCCCAAAACATGTACAACTGGGCCTTACCCCAACCCCCATAGCCTCAGTCTATAAAGGTAAAGTTAAAGTCGGGAGATGTGAACCAGCGTCATTGCACACGGTTATAAACCATAAGTGCTCTGGCACCAGTACGGACAGCTGATGAGAAACTGTCCGCTCGTGTCGCCGTCCGCACGCAGCTCTGTAGCTACAGCGACGTTCCTCCATTTACCCCAGAGAGTTAACTCTGGTACCCATAAACTAGAGGCTAGGTGAACGAACCCTTGGAAACCGCCTGGTTTCGAACACCTGCCGTTGACTTCAGCGAGTCGCAGCTGGATTTGAATGCGAGTCTCCTATCGACTGCGTTAACGCGGCCCTTAGCCTCAGCCTATGACTCACGACTATATGTAGTCTCTATTATACGCTGCATTCAGTCGTGCGACCTAGGATACACTCGTCCAACATAGCAGAGGCCCGGGTTTACCAGATCGGGGCATCAATGGCAAGGGAGGTCACTCTCATTGTTAGGTCTCTTAACGTGACCAAAACCAAACAAGTAAATAACATATAAACATTACATTTTAATTCTTACATAACCTACACAAATTAAATGTAAACAGTTGCAGGACGAGTTCAAATGACACTTTATTAGTTACTTAAGGCAGTAGTCAAGATCTCTCCTAACTGCTCTGTTCGTGCACCAGTAGAACTCACACAAAATGTTCTTCACTGTCCCATTTGATAAACTATCGGGGGCAACAAATATATCAGTCCTAGCAAAGTCTTGAAACGTTTTCAAGGACAATAAATGCATAAGGCAGACGTCTGATGTGCCAATACTAACAGTCCTCCGCCGGAATTTAGCCCACTGTTGACGCAAGCGGTCAGTCATAAAAACATGAATTTGCCAATATGATCCTGCATAAGTAAACGCCATTCCAAACGAAATCGACCGCCAGCCATTTCTAGTTTACTTCACAGCACGAAAACCGTCGTAGGCACAACAGGGGGAAAGATATTAAATCGACAGCTGCCAGTGGCTCACCAAGCACTCAGTTCAGTAGCTGGGCGACAAAATCTTTGTACTCTCAGTCCAACAAGATGAAAACTGCACCAGTGAACCATGGCTAGAACAAATAACTTTCCAAAGCACCAGTCACATAATATACACAAACAGTTCGACAGCTATGTAATTACAACAAACATGTCAGCAGTTACGTAATGTTTATAAACAATACTTTAATAAGCACATAATTTTTTTGCCCCTCTATTATATTAACAGTTACATAATGTATACAAATGAATAGTTTGAAAACTTACGTAATGTTTATAAAATACATTTCCACAGTTATACAGTTATGGAAATTACCTGGTATCGATTACATACACCGTAAAGAGAAAAAGTTTTTAGGAACGGTTGATTACTTGCACCGGGGCAGCGTTAATCCACTAGGGACTATAATGAGGTTAGTGAAGGAGCTATCCTTGAATTAATTTGAAAACTCTTTCAGGGACACTGAATGGCAAAGATACGACATTCCAGCTGAGCGACAGATGAATAGATAATATCGCCAGACAAGACTCAGCCTAGCGACAGACTTGAAACACCTCTATGGACGTCAATAAGTAGTTTCATGATTTTAATAATGTAACCGCTGGGGTCTCCAGAAAGGAGTCTTTGCTTGTTCATTGAGCCATTTCCTTAGATAGTAGCCAATGATAAATCAGCCGTGTGCGTTATCTTAGGACCAAATGTTATTGCTGATTTATTGCACTGCTTAAAGTAAAGTATATATTAATATACTGCACGTATGTATGTATTTTTTAAATTATGTATGTATGTATGTAGTTTCTGTCTGTCTGTTGTTTGCACAAACCCTCTATCCTCTCCTAAGTACACACATACACACACCAAAATCATTGGACAAGACGTATCAACCACTAATCTGCACACAACAATAGGTTAGGTTAGTTGCGTATCCTTTACAGAAGGTTGCAGAACCAACCCCAGCAGCCCCTGGCTGTTGTGTGGTTTCTCTAGGCAAATTTACGTCCAGTAGTTTGCCATTGCTCACTGAACGGTCGGCTTTATTAATAACCCTGTCGAAATCAACGCAAGGCGCATGGCCCGCAGCTGGAATCGAACCCGGCACCCCGGCATTACGAAGTGTTCTCATCGACTTAGCCACAAAGCGGACGCACACAACAATATCTACTCATATTTCAGATTTGATTACCTTGTCAGCGGTGGAAACCCTGTGTGGTTTCACGTCATCAACACGGTACTACACACCATCGTGACCCTGACCCTGACCTGGGTGTGTCTGCACGTGCTGCACACATCTACCACGTGTGCTGTCCTGACCAGTTGTCTGTTTGCTGTCCACCCCATACACACCGAGGCGGTGAGTACTCTTCCAGTATTTAATGCATAAAAGAGGGCATCATCTTATCATCATCAAGCGCCTTGCCGATCATTCATCACGTCCTTCCATCTCGAGTTGAGTTGAGTCAAAAATCTTCAGCAGCCAACGCAGAGATCCAGTACTGATGGTACCATATCGAAAAGCACGCTTAGTTTCGTGTGCGGACACTTTCCCATTGCAATGACAAAAAAGCTGTTCTAATCTTATTTAATTATGGGACTTTCCGGTCAGTATGGAAGATAAGGACGTTTACTTGTATTATTCGCGTCAAGTTTTTGCTTCTGACAGCAGTTGGGCGTTGCATTTTCCTCCATACGTGGACTGAAAGGATATAATTTCGCCGCGCTCCTACTGAATTGGGTGCATGGTGCGACA